AGAACGGTTTTGTGTTTAGGGAGTAAGGAGATTGAATGATAGAAAATTGCACAGTGATTTAGAGTGGTTCGACTTTCTCAAACAAAGTCTACGTCCACTACCTTAGCTCCTCGCCAAGGATTTTCCAACAAATTCACTAATTTGTTCTTTCTTTTGAGGATAAAGAGTAACCTTACAAACTCCCTAGTTTTTCCAGGCTAAACTAGAACCTTTCCCTAGCTTTTACACGGGCTAAGCTAGAACCTTTCCCCTTTACAAAAGGATAAAAGATGTAAACAATAAAACCTCTCTAAGGTAGGTGTTTACAAGAATTAATCTCACAAGAACAAAATATTTACAAGAGAAAGATGAAATAAGAATGAAAAACTCTTATCTTGTGTTTGATTACTTGGATAGTTGTTCTCATACTTCTTCAAGTGTCTTTAGCTTGTATTTATAGCTTGGAATGAGTTTGAAGTCGTATATAGCTGTTGGGGATGTTTTGGAGCCGTTGGGGAATGATTTTTATACTCAAAAAGGTTGCCCAGAATAGAGGGAATCGGTACCCCTTCATAGGGAATCGATACCCCTTCATAATATTCAAATATTATGACCGTTGGGCTGTTGAACAGGGGGGAATCGGTACCCCCTGTGGGGGAATCGGTACCCCCTGGACATTCTGTTTTTCTCGGAGGCAAAAACCTACAGGAGGGTATCTGTACCCCCTGGGGGGGTATCTGTACCCGGGGTATCTGTACCCCCTGGGGGGAATCTATACCCCCTGGGCAATCTTGAAACCCCTTAAAATATTTTTGGCTCAAATCCGAATTTTAATTGATTTTGAATTATTTTTGAAACCTTTTAAAAACTTTGAATAAATTCAATTAAGTCCAAAAACATTTTGTAAATTCAATTCAAGTCCAAAAACCATTTTGCCTTAAATTGTTATATCGAAACATAGTTCAACAATCTCCCCCTTTTTGATATAACAAAACATTTGAAAAATTGTTTTTGGCAAAAACTCCCCCTTAATAAAATGTTTAATGAAAAAGATACTAGTTGTTGGAAAACATATGAAAATGTTAAGCTCCCCCTTTTTCATTAAGAAATTGAATTTTTCAAACTAAACTTCTCCCCCTTTTTGTTATATCAAAAATAATTCGATCTTTGAAGTTTAAAATAACTTTGGAGAGTAAGTAGTAAATTTTATATTTAAAAATAATTTGAAAAATCAAAGCTCCCCCTCAATAAATGTATTCCAAACAAAATTAAGCTTTTAAGATCTTGACACTTAAACAAAATATTGAATTTCTAAAAAGAATAACAAACATGTTTGTAGCACATGAAATTCAATATATCCAAGTCTAAAATACTTTATGCAATACCAATTTTTGAAATTTGATATTAATACCAATTGTTAAAATTAAGTGCATTTGCATAAAGTTTTCCAAAAATGTCATGCATTTTGAATAATTTGATATAAATTGTTAGAGAGATATCATTTTCATTTAAACCACATGCATAAACATTCAAATTTAGGTCAAAAATTTAAATTTATAAAATCAAAGTATTTTAAAATTTGATATCAATTGTGAGAGAGATATCATTAGCATTTAAAATCAATTTTGACCAAAATTCATTATGATGAACTAAAAATTCTGAAAAATTATTAAAACGTTAAGATGTTCATCATAACTTCCTTTTAACATACATGAGATTAAGACAATGATGCATAATTATTTAAAACCAAAACTCATGTATGCTTAAAATCAAATGAGCAACCAAATAACTAAAATTAAAAGCATTAAGCTTAGAGGTTACACATTCCTTTTTCATGTGTGGCTAGAGCATCTTGAATATCATCATCTTCATCACCATTGCTCCCACACACCTACAAGAGACATTTATTTCGATTTTGGTATCCAAATTGCTTTGGATCCTTGAATGTTAGTTTCAATGCCCCTTGTTCCTTTTGGAACCCATACTTGTCTAATTTTAAAATGTTTTCCTTTCTTCAAAGGAAAAGTATGTTCCAAATGACCATGAAAATGGCAATGTGAGCATTTTGTCATTTTTACACATAATAGGTTATTTTTAGAAATTAATTCTTTTTCTTTTGTTAAGCCTTCAAGCTTAACTTCTAACTCAAAATTTTTCTTTTCTAAATCATTTATTTTAATTTTTGAAAGCTCTAAATCATTTTTCAAAATTTCATTTTGATTTTCAAAATCAACTTTTGCTTTCAACATCAAATTATCTTTAATTTTGAGCTTTGAAATTAATTTCGTATATTTGGAATTCATGGTCTCAAATCCCAAATACAACCTATTATAAGCATCTTGTAACTCATCAAAAGTAAATGAATTAAATTCATTTGAGTTAGAAGATACCTCAACTTCTTCATGAGTGGCCATGAGGCATAGGTTGACTACTTCATCTTCATCATTGGAATCATCTTCATCACTCCAAGATTCAACAAATGCCTTCTTCCCCTTTTTCTTTAAAAGAGGACATTCATACTTGACATGCCACTTTCTTTGACAATTGAAACACACCGGGGGACTCTTCTTCTTGGTTGATTCATGTTTCACTTCCTTGGAAATCATGAATCTCTTGAGTTCCTTCAAGATCTTGACCATCTCTTCTTCTTGTTCATCATCTTCTTCATCCACCTCATCACTTGATTCTTGATAGCTTTCATTGGTGGATTTGAAGGTAATGCCTACCTTTTTATTCTCTTCCCTTTCTTCATCTTCCTTCACCATCATCTCATGAGTGAGAAGGGAACCAATTAGCTCTTCGAGAGTGAGAGACTTTAGGTTTTTAGCTTCGATAATGGCCGTCTTCTTCGATTGCCACTCCTTTGGAAGAGAGTAAATCACCTTCCTCACAAGCTTCTCATTAGGGACTACTTCTCCATATCCCTTGAGACCGTTGACAATCACGGAAAATCTATTCGTCATAGCTTTGATGTCTTCATTGGGTTTCATCTTGAAGTTCTCGTAGCTATGGTTGAGAAGACTTTTCTTTGATTCCCTCACTTCGTCGGTTCCTTCATGAGTGACTTGGAGCTTATCCCAAATCTTTTTGGCACTAGAACAAGATGAGACTCTTCCATATTCATTTGGACCTAAAGCACAAAATAGAATATGTATAGCCTTAGAATTACGCTGAAAATTTTTATGCTCTTCTCTATTCCAATCGTTGTACTTGCCGGGTGGAGAGGAGTTACCGTCCATGATTGAGTACCAAGCTCCTAGATTGTATGATTGAATGAAGTACATCATCTTATTCTTCCAATGTGCATAATTTGCTCCATTGAAGAAGGGTGGCTTGTTGACCGGTTGTGAATCCATAATAGGATATTCTTCAAGATAATAAGCACCGGAGGAAAATGTCATTTCTTTGTCGGTTGCGTCGGGAATTGGTAGAGCTTCTTCTAGGATCGTCTCAAGGTGGTTAAACCTTCTTAACGAGTTAGGCTCTGATGCCAATTGATTTATTAATTATAAGCTTAAGCTGCTAATATCACAATCAAAAGAGAGGTTAGCCATTAGTTTCATAAATCAATATTCATAAATAATGTGATATGGAAAAATTGGTCATATTCCTAATGATGATGAAAAAATGAATAAAACATATAAGTTCACACTATTCATAAATCCAAAATCCAACAATCCACAAAATCAAACAATCCAAAATATAAAAAATGTTGAAACAATATTCTTTTAGTTCAAAGTCTTAAAACTAAACACATAATCAAACATCCGGATCGGTAGGAGGAAAACGGGCTCGCATAGCGGCCATCTCGTGTGTGAGTTCATTGATACGAGCGTTGGTTGATTCATTGTTTGCACGCATCTCCCGAAGAATCTCTAATTGTTGAGCTCCCATTGTGGATAAATGAGACTCTATAGAGGTAAAACGCGAGTCCATGGTCGCATATCGAAAATCAAATGTCTCCATAAAGGATTGAAAATATGGAGGCATTTGAGTCGACTGTTGTGCGTGCTCCTCGGGTTGTTCAGGCTCATCTTCAGCTTCATCGATATCCCTCATTAATTGTTCAAACTCGGGATCTTCGTCAGGTTCGGGTGGAGCTTGTGAAGAACTAGCTCCCGGAGTAGAAGATCGAACCCATGCACCGGTTTCCTTATTTTTGACCCATCCCACTCTTGTTAAAGAAAGAAGATTGATTTGTTTCTTAAGAGGAAATGAGGCATCTAGACCAACTCGGAGTTCGGCTTTAGAAAAGAGATTACTAAGGATACAACCGTAAACTAGTGAAGAACAGAGTTTCTTATTTGGCACTAAGTTAACGGTTTCAACGATCTCAGCAAAGATAATCTCGGAAAGGTTTATTTTTATATTGTTTTCAAAACAATGCAACCACCAAAGGTCTAAAGCTCTAAGAGTAGAATAACGACCCCCGGATGGTCGAAACCACCAAGTGATCATAAGATGAAGAAAACGCTCATGGAGATCTAAAACACTTGCACTATCATTCCGTTTATATCGTGAGCCTAAAACTTGTTTTTCGTTTGATAAACCTTCATTGTCCAAGCCTAAGGCATTGGACTTAATTGAATTTATTCAAAGTTTTTAAAAGGTTTCAAAAATAATTCAAAATCAATTAAAATTCGGATTTGAGCCAAAAATATTTTAAGGGGTTTCAAGATTGCCCAGGGGGTATAGATTCCCCCCAGGGGGTACAGATACCCCGGCTACAGATACCCCCCCAGGGGGTACAGATACCCTCCTGTAGGTTTTTGCCTCCGAGAAAAACAGAATGTCCAGGGGGTACCGACTCCCCCACAAGGGGTACTGATTCCCCCCCTGTTCAACATTATCTTTATTTTTATTTTCTCAAATTATCAGTTACGATTTTGTTCTATCTGATAATCGTCTCCCGCAACATCTTTCCCAGGGCATTAAAACTCATTGGATTGGCCCTGTATATCATGGACGTATGAACACCATGTTTTCCGCAGGCAACGAATTGCATGTGTACATAGATTCACCTGAAGAAGATAATTAAGCTTTGAGTTCCTAAACGGTACGTGATCCTCCTTTTTTGCCAATGCAAATATAACATCGGCTAAAGATGATAGATTTTTATTAATTGCCTGAATAAAATTCGGGAAAAAAAGTTTAAAAAAACAAGAAGGTAATGATCTAGGAGAGAAATAATAATAAGCATTGTTAAAATACTTGAGTCTCTTTTAACCGGTCTCCTGTTGAGCCACTCTTGGAAAGACGCTCACTTCCAGCGAGATCGATTAGATTCAAGACACCTTGTACTTGTTTCTCAGTGGTGCACAATAGGGACATGGTTAAAACTACAATACCTCCCTCGGCTGGTGGAACAAATGATTGAGAGCAAAGCAGCTTTATATTTGCAAGGATTATAACAAAATCTCAACTCGTACCTCATTAACACCAGTTATTCGTATGGTGAAAACAAAATGACTTCTTGATGATTGTTCGTTCATGTGAGTTTTCCCAACAGATCTGAAAGAGACAAGAACAAACTTCATCAATCCATGATTATCACCCCAAAAAAGGTTACATCATTCGTTTATTTTTCAAAAATGTAACAGAGAGACAGTTATGAGTGCATGGTTCTCATGTGTTTATGCATACTCTAAAGTATATACCTGCTATGAGCAGCTCGGTCTAAAAGATACGCAACCTCTCTGCTACTTTGAACATCCACAATGGTAAGATCTGAAACTTGTGTGTTTCCATTTGCATCATGTTTAATTGTATATTTCTTTCCAGCAGGACCGTTTTCGATTCGTGATGAATCCCAGATTGGTGATAACAAATCACGAACGGTTTCATTGTAGATTTCTGACATCGAGACCTGCATTTCGTATCTCCAGCCTTGAGGCTGAAGAGCTTGCTTAGTTTGAAATATTTGTTCTAGCGAATGTTGTATTAATCCCTTCTCATTTGGTTGACCCGGTTTTCCCATCATGGTATAGGTTTTACCCGAAACTGTTTGCCCATAGGCAAAAATGCAAAACCTGTCGAAAGATTAAGCAGATGCACAATTAAGCATTTACGATACTACCGCTACCATTATCACAGTATTTGTATCTAGGAGAGTCCTACAATATTTCCACAGGTAAAATAACCTTATAACCATCAAGAGCACTTTGGACGAGTTGCGATATTTCTACGAAAACTTCCTCTTGCAACGTATCAGGCATAAATACTTTGTCAAAAGTGAAAGAATGCTTCTGCCCTGATAATAGCAGACAAACATCAAATGAGCTCTTAATGATCGAAACAAAACCAAGCTAATGAAATCAAATGGCATTCTCTAATATAGTTTTATAATTTAAATATATTTGTTCATTACCATTTTGTGTCACGTCAATGCCGCGTCCCAGATATTCCATTGACGTGGGATAAGAGAAAACTTTCCCCTGATTACTCGAACCGTCATCAGGTAAATGAGGTCGCACTCTACAAAATACACGGATGTTCCCTTTCAATTCCTACAACCGAAAAAGTAGTCGTTAGGCAACATATTTGTGGTATGTTAAAACAAGTTATAGTTTAGAACATTACCAATATTGTATTATGCAACTTCTTACGCAGCTTCTTCCCTTCTATAAGCTTATATTCTGCATCTTCCAAGCGGTTTTGCAACTCCTTTATGAGTTTCTTTTGTGCTTCGAATTCATTTCTTGTCTCGAACGCAGAAATATCAGACACCTAAAATTGGGAAAGAACCGAGATTATGATAGGAACTAAACAGACTAAAATGTTATGAAGAGTTTTCTCAAAAGTAAATTAAATTGCCTGTAATTTCCTCTCTGCAACCGCTAGTTGGTCGTGCAAAATTTGTATTTGATTACCTTGAGACAAGCATTTTTCCTGTAAAAGATACACATGTATCAGAATATATTCATAGTCAGAAAGTAAAGTAAAAGAAAAAGAAACGTAACCTGTAATTCGCTTGAGTTGGTAGCCAACTCTTTGTATCTCGATACTTCAGTTGTTAGACTCTGCACTTGCTGTTGATAGTGCTCGCGGTCTTCTTTGGTCTGGTGTAGCTCCATTCTAAGACATGCAACTTCATTCAGCAAAGAATCTTTCTGCTTCATAACATCATCTTGGGAAGCCTAACCCAAAGAAAGTAGAGAAGGCAGCAGTAATCTTCGTTACGTCAATATTCAAGCCTCTTTTAAGCCATATAAACTCCGACAACTAACAATCGAGCAGTGTGCTAAAAATGTCATAAAAAGGCTAGATCACTAGGCATGATAAAAATACGTAACAAAAAAGATGTGATTCACATGCACGGAAACTCACTATAGATGAAAGGCAATGATTTATGTTGACCCCTTAAGGTGTGAAGATTCTCCACTATGGCTGATCTCTCTTTCTCTCCACGCTTAATGGTTTCGTGAGCTGTGTCAAGGTCCGACTGGAGTTTACTGTTGTATAATTGCCAGACTCGAGTTGTACTCTTGTAGTAGCTTGAACATATCATTAATCGATGCTATCTGCATCGTTCAAGAATCCAATGAGTTAACAAAGTAAAAGGCCTTAATGCAAATGCAGCAACAAGGAAAACCAAGGTGCTTTGTATATTTACCCTTTGATTAGCACCATCAAGCTCGCCTTGAACTTTCTTGATCTCTTCCGACAGAGAAGCTTGCGACCTTTCGATACTAGTTCGAGCTTCTTTTTCTTTTGTAAGTGAATCCACTGCAGCCTAATTGTCATATTCAAAAGAACTAATCACTTTTCATTTTCAAACACGCGAAAATAAATATATACAAAAATCCTTAAGGCCAAAAACCATTCTTACCTTAATTTCTCTTGTTCAAAGCATATTCTCCCTCGAGTTCTTGGAACCATTTGATGCAAAGCCTAAGCCTCTTTACATACTCCATGTAACCCCTAGACCCGGTCTGTAAGTTAGACTCAAACCTAAGTGGTCACATATCTCATTCAGAGGTATTTGTTTTTAAACAACTTATAATACATTAGATATAATACAAAATAAAATATTAATGACACAAATATATTCAAAACGATAGCAAATACATGTCACCAGATACAATGGAAAGCATGTAAAGATATATGTTCGTACAAAATAAGTAGTTGATCTCCCTTGATGCCAAATCTGCTAGCTTACGGTCTGTTGTTATCTGAAAAAGGGTAAAAATTATAGAATGAGCTAAAAAGCCTAGTGTGCTTCAAATAGTGTATAAAAATATTTTAATAAAATATTTCAGTAAAATCATTTCATCAAACATGTTTGTTTTATTTAAAATATGAACACTATCCCCATCCGTCACGAACAAAATGTGTAGGTTCCCCATAACCAAAGCCGATGAGCCTGCAAGTATTCTTCCTCCAACAATTTTTTCCCCCAGTGTCAGTAATAAACAAGTATGTATTCAAGTAAAATTGGTGAATAATTCATGTTTTAAAAAAACTATATACCGAAATACAGAAATCAGATATCAGGAAATCAATATTCAGGAATCATGTATCATGTATCATGTCATAACAATATTATGAATTATCACCAATCTAAAACAATTCAAACAATATTTTTAAAACAGTAAAATAATACTGTCATGAAACACACCTGTAACAGTCTGAGAAATCAAATAGGGAAGCTTATTACTGGTTTTGTCGATCACGCTTTGCTGCAGCGTTAGATCATACGAATTGGAAAAATCCATATTGGAAACCTAATATAAATAATCTAAATATTATTTTAATAATATACGGAAACCTACGAGTAATTCTCGTAGTACGCGGTTCAGGCTGATCTAACGAACGGACAACACCGGACCTAATTGATCCTTGTTCAGGTGAAACACGAGTACCTTCATAAAATATTTTTATTAAATCAATTCCTTAACCAAATCTCAATTAAATAATCAAAATATTAAAATATTAAGCCTTTTGGGTTTACAAGCTCGATTCGGGAATTTTGGGTCAGAATTTGGTAAAACGGACTCCGGAATCAGATTCAGGACGTCGAAAAACATAAAGTATGACTTTCCGAAAATTTGAATTCTTGGTCAAAATCAAAGTCAACGGGTTTAACTGACGATTCGGAGACTTTCGGGTTTGAATTTTGTGAAACCGACCCCAAAAACGGATTCGGGACGTTAAAAATATTAGGATAGGTATTCTCAGAAAAGATTATAGGTTGTTTAATGGCCGGTCAAAGTTCTAGTCAAAGGAACTCAACAAACTGTCAACCATTTTATAGAAATGACACCCTTTTTTTTAATAATTACTAAAATAACACATTTTTCGAATTAAATTCCCAAAATAGCACTTTTTCGAATTAAATTCCCAATATAGCACTTTTGAATTAAATTCCCAAAATAGCACCCATTTCAAATTAATTCCCAAAATAGCACCCATTTTAAATTAATTCCCAAAATGTCATCCGGTCAACGGTCAACGGTCAACGGGTCGGGTCAACGGGTCGAGTAGGTCAACGGGTCGAGTCGGAACCGGTTAAACCGATCATTTCAACCTTCCCCACGCGCGTGGGGGCGCGTGAGGTGTCTTCTGGCTGCGTAAAATTCACGGAATAATTTTTAAAAATTATTTTGAGCGATTTCGAGATAATTACAAAGATCGGTTCAAATTTTTGAACGGCGGAGAGCTCGATTTCATCAAATCGGAAACTTTGATCACTTCACCTCCCCACGCGCCGCCGTCGACGGAGACCGAGGATAGCACCGACAGACTCGGAACGACACAAGGAACACGATGGTGCGGGAGGTGTCGTAAACGGAGCAACGATTGGCGATGAATTTAAGATTTTCTCGACGATTGAGCTAAAAAACGTCGAGACTTTGACTGGAAATTCCCGGCGTTTGGCTTCAATTAATATAAGGGAATTGTTCCTCACTCGATAACGAACACGATGGTGTTTTCAAAATGACGATCGAAAGTCGGACGACATCGGAATCGAGGTTGGAAGTTGGGCGTATGGGAGGGGATTTTATGAATTGGTTTCTGTGTTTTCACGCAGAAACCAATTCATTTCCTTTAAAGAGAAAGCCTGTCAACACTTTTTGGGTTAATTCAGGGCTTGATCCCTGAATTTTCTTCAACTCTAAAACAAGCTACAAATTTTAAAAACTTTCAATTTAGTCCTCAAATTTTCACCAATTTACACAATTAAATTAAAAAAATTCCAATTTTTCGGGTTGTTACAATTCTCCCCCTCTACAAGAAATTTCATCCTCGAAATTTACCTTATGAAAATAGATGAGGAAATTGAACCTCCATTGATTCCAACGTCTCTCATATAGCTTCTGAGGGGCTACGATTACTCCATTGAACTTTGACCATTGGAATACGCCTATTCCGAAGAACTCGTTCATCCCTCTCTAAAACCTGAACAGGCTCCTCCTCATATGACAAATCAGGTCTCAGCTCTATCTTGTCAACCTGAATGATGTGATCCTGGTCTGGACGATATCGCCTCAACATAGACACATGAAAAACATCATGAATACGACTGAGCTGGGGAGGCAACTCAAGCTGATAAGCAACAGGTCCAACTTTCTTCAAAATACGATACGGCCCAATAAATCGCGGACTCAGTTTACCCTTACGTCCAAATCTCAATACCTTCTTCCATGGATATACCTTGAGAAAAACCTGATCTCCAACCTCAAACTCAATATCCTTACGTCGGTTATCTGTGTATGATTTCTGCCTATCAAATGCCTCTTTTAAGCGATCACGGATCAATCTGACAGTATCTTCAGTCTCTCGAATCAAGTCTGGACCCAAAGTTTTTCTATCATGCAACTATGTCCAACATATAGGAGTACGACATCTACGTCCATACAGAGCATCGTACGGTGCCATGCGAATACTTGCCTGGTAACTATTATTGTAAGCAAACTCAGCTAATGGCAAGAAATCTTCCCAACTACTACGAAAATCAATCACATAACCCCGTAACATATCCTCCAACACCTGAATTACTCGCTCTGACTGTCCATCAGTCTGAGGATGAAAAGATGTACTGAAATTCAAACGGGTACCCAAAGCTTCGTGCAAAGCCTTCCAGAACCTGGAAGTGAACCTCAGATCTAGATCAGATATGATAGACAACGGAACACCATGAAGTCTAACGATCTCATAAATGTACAACTTAGCCAGTTTGCCCAAGGAATAATTAATCCGGATAGGGATAAAGTGCGCTGATTTAGTAAGTCGATCAACAATCACCCAAATAGAATCCTTTTTAGAAGGAGACAAAGGAAAACCAGTAACGAAGTCCATCATAATACGCTCCCATTTCCACTCAGGAATCTTAATTGATTGTAACAATCCAGATGGATGCTGGTGCTCTGCCTTAACCTGCTGACAAGTCAAACACCACACCACAAAATCTGAAATATTTTTCTTCATACCAGTCCAAAAGTAGCGTTCTTTGAGATTATTGTACATTTTGTCCCCGCCAGGATGCATAGCATAAGGACTACTATGAGCCTCCTGAAGAATAACCCGTCTCAACTTATTATCTTTAGGGACGCAGTAACGATAGTGAAAACACAAAATACCATCTTGATCCACTGTATACTCTGAACTCTATCCTTGTTTAACTTGCTCAATAATGGAAAGCAATGAGCTATCCAGAATTTGTTTGGTCTTAATCTCCTCGGCCAAAGTAGGCTTAACCTGCAACTCTGCTAACAGACTATTATCATCAAATAAACTCAAGTTGGCGAATAAGGCTCTGAGATCTGATATCGCCTTACGGCTCAAGGCGTCTGCCACTACATTAGCCTTCCCTGGATGATATTCTATCTCCAAATCATAGTCCTTTAGAAGCTCCAACCAGCGACGCTGTCTCAAATTCAATTATTTCTGAGTAAACAGATATTCCAGACTCTAATGATCATTATAAAGATAACACTTTTCTCCGTATAGGTAGTGTCTCCAGATCTTTAAAGCAAAAACTACGGCAGATAACTCCAGATCGTGAATAGGATATTTACGCTCATGCGACTTTAATTGACGCGAAGCATAAGCGACAACCTTCCTATCTTGCATCAAAACACAGCCTAATCCAGAGTGAGAAGCATCACTGTAGACAGAAAAATCCTTCCCAGATTCAGGCTAAATCAGTATTAGGGCTTGAGTTAGAACAATCTTTAGTTTCTCAAAGCTAGCTTGTTGGTTCTCAGACCAGACAAATAGAACATCTTTCCTCAATAGTTTCGTTAGAGGAGCTGCAATAAGGGAGAACCCCTCAACGAAATGACGGTAGTAACCAGCTAAGCCCAAGAAACTACGAATCTCAGAAACGTTCCTGGGTTGCTTCCAATTCAGAATAGCCTCCACTTTGCTTGGATCTACCCGAATACCATCTGCAGAAATGATATGTCCAAGAAAAGTCACTTCGCTGAGCCAAAACTCACACTTGCTCAACTTAGCATATAAATTATTCTCCCTTAAAGTCTGTAGAACAATCCTTAAATGCTCCTCATGTTCTGCTTCACTTCTAGAATACACCAGTATGTCATCGATGAACACAACTACAAACTGGTCCAAATAAGGTCGAAACACCCTATGCATCAGATCCATAAAAGCAGCAGGGGCATTTGTTAACCCGAACGAAATCACTGAAAACTCATAATGCCCATACCGAGTTCGAAAAGCAGTCTTCGGAATATCTGAATCTTTCACTTTGAGTTGATAATACCCATACCTCAAGTCTATTTTTGAGAAGATAGAAGCCCCTCGAAATTGGTCAAATAGATCATCGATTCTGGGCAAAGGATATTTGTTTTTAACCGTGAGCTTGTTCAGTTTCCTATAATCGATACAAAGTCTCAATGTCCCATCTTTCTTCTTGACAAAGAGAACTGGGGCTCCCCACGGTGATACACTGGGTCGGATAAATCCCCTGTCCAACAACTCCTGGAGTTGGACTGTCAGTTCTTTAAGCTCTTTTGGGGCCATACGATAAGGAGCCATTGAAACTGGAGTAGAACCATAATAGATTTCAATCTCAAACTCAACTTCTCTATCCAGAGGTAATCCAGGCAACTCCTCGGGAAAAACATCAGAAAATTCCTTGACAATCCGGATACCTTCAATATCAGACTGAGAACTCCTAGTATCCAATATATAAGCAAGAAACGCCTCGGAATCTTTTATGATCATCTTCTCAGCTACCAAAGCAGACACAACATTCGTCAGAAATCAGCGGCGTTCCCCAATCATTACAATCTTTCGATTATACGGGGTCTTCAGAACAACTCTCTTAGTCTCAAAATCAATATTTACTCGATGTTTGTCCAACCAATCTACGCCGAGAATCAAATCAAACTCTTCCAAAGGTAACTCCATCAGGTCAGCCAGAAAAATCTCCCCATTGATCTCTATAGGACATTTTCTAAAAATACGATCCAACACAATGGACTTGCCTAAGGGACTTTGAACTATCACTGAATGCTCAGTATTCTCAACATGAATATTTAGACCCTCAGAAAAAGAATGCGATACATAGAAATTGGTAGAGCCACTATCAAACAATGCAAAGTATGGAACTGAATGAATAGTAATAGTACATGCAGTCACATTAGTCCCATCACGATCTTGTCGAAGTCTGGCAGTGTAAACCAAAGCAGGCTGTCTGGCATCAGATCTGACTGGACCCCTACTCTGAGATGCTCGGCCTCTACTAGCCGATCCTAGTACTTTGCCCTGACTATGACTCACTGCTGGAGTCTGAACAGTACTCTGAGTATGAGCGGGAGTACGAGCTGGTGTCTGAACAGAACGAAGTATCTCTGGACAATCCTTCAAATGATGGTCACCAGACCCACATTTATAACAAGTGCCCAATTTTATCCTGCATTCCCCAAAATGATGTATCCCACAGTAATCACATGTTGGCAATGTTTGCGACCCAAAACAACCACCATGTCTAGAAGATTGAATAGCTGAAGAACCAGATGCAACAGGTCTGACACTCTTACCACCTCTCTAAAAAGACTCACCCCTGCCTCTCTTGCTAGGGTGTGCTAAAGAATCAACAGAACCAGAAGGCCTCCTGAATCAGGTTTGAGCTCGATCACTATCTCTCTTGTGCTCCATACCCAGTCGCTATATTTCCTCAGCAGTCTTGGCTATCTCAACCAAAGCATCAAAATTCCTCTCTCGGTGGGTAGCAACTCGACTCCTGATCTCATACCTGAGTCCATTCTCAAACCTCAAGCATCGATCTGTCTCCGTGTCAACAAGTCCAGGAGCATAACGACTCAATCGAATGAAGTCCACCTCGTAATCCATAACAGACATATTACCCTGCTCCAGATTCTGAAACTCTTGGCGTCGCTCCTGCAGATATCTCTCTCCGATGTAGCGACTCCGAAAGCGCGTCTTGAAAAGATCCCATGTTAATTGGTTCCTCGGAATACTACCAGAAATGGATTGCCACCATCTGAAGCTTTCTTTCTTCAACATAGTTAGGGCCCCCTTTAACTTTTGCTCAGGTTTGAGGTCCATCTCATCCATAATCCTCTCTGTGTCCTCCAGCCAAAAACTCAGCGTCTGTCGGAGGTCCACCAGTAATACCCTCGAATGGAACTACACCAGCAGCAACCAGAGAATTTGAAATCTCCACTGCAGTCATGTTACTAGGGGCTCTAGCAGCTCTCTGAAACATGCAGAAGATAGCTCTGTTAATGGCATCTTCATTCATCTCAGTATCCTCATCTTCAGTGACGGGAGGGTCTCTCGCAGGAGTAAACTGATCATCATGAGAAAGAGTCGGATCTATTTGCGGAACAGGAGGATCACGTGGTGACATCGGATCGTCTGTCGTAACAGAAGGTCGAGTGACTCGCCCTCTACCACGTTCACGTCCTATCCTACGACCTCTAGCAGCATTCATCGTTGGATCTATAAGGTTCTATAGAAAGAATTTGAAACATATGTCAGATTAGCATCAGGGATCTCGAGAAAAATTTAAATCATAACATAAGGTGACTTTTTTTAAAAAACAATTCTTAAAAATCCAAAGTTTATGACCCATATACAGTCCGAGTGTTTAAAGCCGAAGGCTCTGATACCACCAAATGTAACCCCAGACCCGATCTGTAAGTTAGACCCAAACCTAAGTGGTCATATATCCCATTCAGAGGTATTTTGTTTTTAAACAACTTATAATACATTAGATATAATACAAAACAAAATATTAATAATACAAATATATCCAAAACGATAGCAAATAAATGTCACCAGATACAACGGAAAGCATGTAAAGATATATGTTCGTACAAAATAAGTAGTTGATCTCCCATGATGCCAAATCTGCTAGCTTACGGTCTGCTGTTATCTGAAAAAGGGTAAAAACTATAGAATGAGCTAAAAAGCTCAGTGTGTTTCAAACAGTGTATAAAAATATTTTAATAAAATATTTCAGTAAAATCATTTCATCAAACATGTTTGTTTTATTTAAAATATGAACACTACCCCCATCCATCACGAACAAAATGTGTAGGTTCCCCAGAACCATACACCCCGTCACGTCCAGTAAGGCCCTGAGCACAAAGCCGAGGAGCCTGCAAGTATTCTTCATCCAACAATTCCCCCCCCCCAATGTCAGTAATAAACAAGTATGTATTCAAGTAAAATTGGTGAATAATTTATGTTTAAAAAAAACCATATACCGAAATACAGAAATCAGATATCAGGAAATCAATATTCAGGAATCACGTATCATGTATCATGTCATAACAGTATTATGAATTATCACCAATCTAAAACAATTCAAACAATATTTTTAAAACAGTAAAATAACACTGTCATGAAACACACCTGTAACAGTCTGAGAAATCAAATAGGGAAGCTTATTACTGGTTTTGTCGATCACGCTCTGCTGCAGCGCTAGATCCTACGAATTGGAAAAATCCATATTGGAAACCTAATATAAATAATCTAAATATTATTTAAATAATATACGGAAACCTATGGGTAATTCTCGTAGTACGCGGTTCAGGCTGATCTAACGAACGGACAACACCGGACCTAATTGATCCTTGCTCAGGTGAAACACGAGTACCTTCATAAAATATTTTTATTGAATCAATTCCTTAACCAAATCTCAATTAAATAATCAAAATATTAAAATATTAAACCTTTTGGGTTTACAAGCTCGATTCGGGAATTTTGGGCCAGAATTTGGAAAAACGGACTTCGGAATCAGATTCAGGGCGTCGAAAAACATAAAGTATGACTTTTCGAAAATTTGAATTCTTGGTCAAAATCAAAGTCAACGGGTTTGAATGACGATTCGGAGACTTTCGGGTTTGAATTTTATGAAACCGACCCCAAAAACGGATTCGGGACATTGAAAAATGTCAGGATAGGTATTCTCGGAAAAGATTAACGATTGTTTAATGGCCATTCAAAGCTGATCAAAGTTCTGGTCAAAGGAGGTCAACAAATTATCAACCATTTTACAGAAATGATACCCTTTTTAAAATAATTACTAAAATAGCACTTTTTCGATTTAATTTCCAAAATAACACTTTTTGAATTAAATTCCCTATATAGCACTTTTTGAATTAAATTCCTAAAATAGCACCTATTTCGAATTAATTCTCAAAATAGCACCCATTTCGAATTAATTTCCAAAATATCACCCGGTCAACGGGTCAGGTCGGTCAATGGGTCGGGTCGGAACCGGTCAAACCGGTTAAACCGGTCATTTTAACCTTCTACACTCGCAGTGACGGCACGTGAGGTGCCTTCTGGCAACGTAAAATTCACGGAAAAATTTCTAAAAATTATTTTGAGCGATTTCGAGATACTTACAAAGATCGATTCAAATTTTTGAACTGCGGAGAGCTCGATTTCATCAAATCGGAAACTTTGACCGCTTCACCTCCCCACGCGCCGCTGTCGACGAAGACCGAGGATAGCACCGGCGAACTCAGAACGGCACAAGGAACACGATGGTGCGGGAGGTGTCGTAAACGGAGCAACGATCGGCGATGAATTTAAGATTTTCTCGGCGATTGAGCTAAAAAAAGGTCGAGACTTTGACTGGAAGTTCCCGGCATTTGACAGCGTTTCGCTTCATTTAATTTAAGGGAATTGTTCCTCACTCGATAACGAACACGATGTTGTTTTCAAAACTACGATCGGAAGTCGGACTGCGTCGGAAGTTGGGCGTAAGGGAGGGGATTTTATGAATTGGTTAATGTGTTTTCACGCAGAAACCAATTCATTTCCTTTAAAGAAAAAGCTTGCTGACACTTTTTGGGTTAATTCAGGGTTTGGTCTCTAAATTTTCTTCAATTCTAAAACAGGTTACAAATTTTAAAAACTTTAATTTAGTCATCAAATTTTCACCAATTTACACAATTAAATTAAAAAAAATCCAATTTTTCGGGTTGTTACACTCCATCATATTCTCACATCTCTCCTGCATAGCCGACGAAAATGAGCGAAGATCTAAGCTAATTCCAGCTAAACAGCTGAAAAAACACACTCACCTTGTAGTTAAATTTGTTCTTGTATTTCATTTTCTCATTCACTAGTGCTTCCGCATCCTCTCTCGTGAACTCAATACCACCACATTCTGAACCGGCAACACTCGGTGGCGCACTATCGGAGCCAAGGTCTTGGGAGCCATTTACGAGTGAGAAAGCTAGCCGGGGCCGACCATTATTTGCGGTGCCAACCATTTTCTCGAATCCAAGCCTTCGTCCCTTATCTTCACTCACCGCATCAGCACTGTATTTCTTCAAAAGCAGCGGGAAGTAATTGAGTTACAAAAATCGAAATTTTCAACAACAAAAAAAGAAGAATTGGGACAAGAAGCCAATCTAAACCCCAATGACAGGCAAAAGGTATTTACTAACAAACACCCCATGCAGATTTAATCCTATCCAGAAAATGAAAAACAAAAGATATCCAGGAACAGGAAGATCATGAAGATTGAATCTTCAACAAACAAAAAAACTCATTTTGAATCCAAATTGGAAAGCAAAACTTACCCATTAACAAGAAGATCATGGGGATTGCACTTCTATCTAAAAACATTTATGAAAAATAAACAACTTTCAATACTTCAAAAACAAAAAAGGAAAGGAACTTACTTTAAAAGGGACTGTGATGGTAGTAGAAGTAGTTGTGAGAGTAGTGTTATGTTGAAATGGAGGTTTGTTCTGGTTCTTTGAACCCATTTTTGAAGAAGAAAATGGAGAGAGATAGTGAAGTTGTGAGATGTTGGGGATGGGAGGGAAGATGGTAAATTCTGGGTCTAGTAAAGTGATGCCATGAATTGCACTCAAAGCTACCAATAATGAATCAAAACCGTTGCTTTTCAAGCAATAAGAAAACAAAAAATCTTCGATTTAATTTTGATCTTCTTAAAAATAAGTTTTTTTTAGATGAAGTTTTTAGATTTGTTGGTAAAAAGGAATTGGTTTTTGTATTAAAAATAAGATTTTGGTTTTGGACTTTCGTTACCGTTGGGATTTGAATTCTTTTAAAAGTCGGTGTTTGAAGGCTTCAACTCTCTTTTGGCTTGCTGTGACGATATTACCCTTTCTATGCAAAGAATGGTTGCCATTTTCATTGAGGCTAAACTCGTCTAGTTATATTGTAATCTTGTTAGGTTTTCTATTTTGAAAAGGTCCGCCTAATTTTTTTTTTTGAATTAATCATTTATATTAATCACTTATATATGATCCATCAATCGATTAATTTAAATCGAGTTTTATAGAGATTAATACAAATTTTCTTTCAAACCAGTTTGATTCATTTGTAAACAGTTCGATGCAATTATTAGAGGCTCGTAATATAAATATATAACGGTGTTTGATGCATACAATGGATAAATACACTCTTTATTTAAGGATCTCCATCGTTTTTAAAGCTTAAAAACATATAATCCAACACTTAAAATCCCATGAACAAAGCACAATATTCCTCCAAGTAGAAAATGGCGATGCAAAACCTGGTGGCACGTCCCTTTTGATTTCGAAATCTCCAGCATTCCCATCACCAGCGCTGGAAATCCAACCGCCACTACAATCCTGATGAATTCAGAAACCATTTTGGTTCAGCTTTGTCTCATACATTTCAATGGAAGAATCTTTGGGAAAAAATGGAGTTTTAGAAGACACATATATACCAAGAAAGAACGAGGCACCCGAACCAGAATTTCCTTATACCAGATGATTTATTCTCAAGCTTCTCAGTGCAACAGATGCACATGCAGCCACCGAGCAAATTTGCAGAAACATGGGATAAAGCTAGTAGAACAGCTGCAATCAGCCCGAGCTCGAAAGCTTCATCATTTGGCTGTCGACACTCTAATCTCTTTACATGTGCTTGGATGCCGAGAAAACCAGCGGCAAAATCTAGGAGAACAATCATGAGACAAACGAAAACACCAGCTTTTTCCATTTCTTTCTACCACAAACGTTCCTCAAATTAACCAAAAGGCAACGACGGCATGGAACGGATGATATTTTACGGATGATATTTTTAAAAGGAAATAGTAGAGAAACAGAAGCCTCCATGGTCTCTTTCATAAAAATGGGTAAAGTGCATGTTCATGACAAAACCCTATTTTTTTCCCTTCTTTGCATGAAAATGTACTTAAACGTGACAAAGAAGCTGAGAAAATTTCTCTGGGACTACATGTCTGATTGTTTAGGGTAGGGACCTTGGGAGGGGTCTTTGCTTTTAAAATACTTTGACAATCAATGTGACACGTGTGACTTATTGAATCATGAGATGGAGAATACATCCTCTCTAAATGTAACGGGGAGTTTTCATAATCATTACGAGTAAAGAAATATTCGGATTTTATACTTGGGTCCCCAATGACGAAGTTACGTTGATCGTGGGAGGACTTTCACCCGATTTGTCCCCACTCTTGAAAACTTTAATTAAATAAAATTTAAGTACGATTTGCATATTAAGCACGTGATGGTAATAGTACTTTAACATGTCGAACATGACAGCCAATTGCCTCGTGTCCCTTCATGTCTCTTTGATGAGAACTGCCAACTAAATCTCTGTTCTTTTGTTGAAATGACAATTTGGTGTGAAGTTTTCCCACAAATGGAAACTATATTGTGAAGTTAGGGTACAAAGTTGCCTCAGGACAAACAATATAAAACACAACATGAATCAATCGTATCCGATTTAATCAAACATAATACATATCTACGGATACAGCCTTTATTTAAGGGCATGCTACCCTACGGCGACATCCTTTTCAAAGCTTACATTTGCAGAAACGTAGAATCCAACACTTAAAATTGCATGAACAAAGCACAATATTCCCCCAGCAAGTAGAGAATGGTGATGCAGAACCTGGTGGCATGACCCTTTTGATTTGGGAATCTCCAGCATTCCCATCACCAGCGCTGGAAATCCAACTGCCACTACAATCCTGATAACATCTCTTAAGCCAATGAATTTCACATTTCAAAAAAAAAGGAAGATTTCGAACAAAAATGGAGTTTTGGAAAACACGTACCAAGAAAGAACGAGACACCCGAACCAGAACTTCCTATTAGCAGATGATTTTTCAAGCTTTTCAGTGCAACAGATGCACATGCAGGCACCAAGCAAATTTGCAGAAACATGGGACAAAGCTAGCAGAACAGCCGCAATCAACCCGAACTTGAATGCTTTGTTTTTGAGCTGTTGGCACTCAGATCTCTTCACATTCATGTATCTCACCTGTTAAACATAAAGTTCAAAAAAACCCTTGATTTTTCAAGTATAATATGTGACGTTGAATCAGATATCAAAGAATGTACCTTGTCTTTGGTAATATGTGCTTGGAAGCCGAGAAAACCAGCAGCAAAATCCACGAGAACAATCACGAGACAAACGAAAATACCAGCTTTCGCCATCTCTCCCAACAAGAGAGAATCAGAAGCCTTCAAAGTTTCAAAACCAAGATTTTTCTTCTTCTTCTTTGCAGGAAAAATGTAATTAAACGTGACAAAGAAATACCAATTTACTTTCCCTGCTAAATAGTAGTACTATTTTTCAATCGTTTCATGAGTATACTTTGCAGCCTGTACTTGTGTCAGTATTACCTTGCACTTAGTCTTTGCCAGCTCTTTTTTTTCTTTTCATTTTTCCTTTTTTCGAACTGTTTGGAAGCTGAGAAAATTTCTTTCCAACTGATTTGTCTGATATACTTTAGACATGTAAGTTGGAACCTTGAAGAGAAGTCTGCTTTTGAGTACTGTGACAGACCGTATCAGACATGTGAGTTGTGAGTTGAATCATTGGTCGGTTTAGATACTATTTGGATATAAGGTGGAATCATCTATTGGAAATTATAGGGGATGGCAAGGTTTTGTCGAATTTGATCATTTGCTTTTCAGTTGCAGGTAAGAGATATTCTTTGTTATACTAGGCCAAACAATACAAGTCCAACAGAAGTATGGAGAATAAGATATTAATACTCAATTTATTTGTTAATTAATTCAAATAAGATATTTTTGAAAATTTAATATTTACAAATATTGATCTTGTGAGATTGATACATACATTAATCTTGTATAAAATATCAACACTACATTCTTTTTACTTTCATGTTTTGCTATATTTTCTTAAATAAAATATATTTGAGAACCTACAACTAAAAATAGAATAATAAAATAAAATTTTACTAATTCATCATTAGACGCTGCATAAAATTCATTTTACACAAGTTCATTGAAAATAAATTTATATTACATAAATATTCAAGAAAGAGATACAAATCTAAACAAGTACAAACAAATAAGAATATTTAACAAACATAGAATCCATTTCATTAGATTAGGTTTTATGGCAAGGGTATAATTATGGAAATAATAAAGTCAAATATGTTCTTTAACATCTTATTTTGCAATCAGCTCTCCCAAACCGATGAATTTTCCAACGTTTTCATTTTAGCTTATTTTGCACAATCAGCTCTTTCTGAAAGGTATTTACCAAACACTAAAAATGAAGTGTTTGACTACCAATCAACTATTTATGCTCAAATAAGCTAAAAGCTCTTCAAAAAATTATTTACCAAACACCCCCATTCATTTTTATTATATAAAATAAAGACTCGATTGAAAAAATAGTATAAACAAATTGTAAACATCCCTAAATATACAAAGAAAAATTGTAATATTATATCGGGTCAGATCAAACTTTTCCTTATCAAACCGAACCTAAATCAATTTTATCATTTGAAGAAATTCAGAACTAACTAGTTTGGGTACTGTAATGGGGAGGCATAGTGGTGGAGCGTGGCGTTCAGATGCTGAGGTAGCTGGTGATTGTTCTTTGTGAGTTGAGGTATGGGCTGATGGTTTTGGTCCCCAGACAGAATGTAATGTGGTTCCCATGCATGCTTCACTCTATCAGATGAGTGACACATTTAATGTCTTGGAGGCAGCTAGTAGGGGGCACGTGGTTCCTGAGGAGAATATGTGTGCTATTTTCGAAGTCAATATGAAGGATGTGTCGTTTTCGCTCTATGATGGGCTCATGTACATGGCTATTGATGATAGTGTTGGGCTTATGGTATTAAACAAAGATTGTCGTGAGGTCTAAGGCTTTTGGTCTTAGTGGTTTTGGTCGTGATTTTTTAGAAGAGCTGGATTTAAATTCTAATTTTTTTTAGTCTGAACTGCAGTGGGTTTAAGATTTAGTGGTTGGTAAGGTGTGTTGTGGTTTTCTATCCAATTGTGGAGTTTGTTTCTGATTTGCATAAGTGTTAATCTTGTTGGGGAGTGATTGGTTTTTGAATTCTTCTAATGGCGTTGGGGAGTATTGTATGATGAGTTTTGTGTGCTGGGAGGAAGTTTGTTGGAGTTATGGCGCTACGTTAGTGTTTTTAGCAGGTTTGGTGATCAGGGTTTCTGCCGTTGTTTGGTTACGTCCCTTTGCTGCTGTGTTCGTTGTAGATCAGTATTATGGTTGTCCATCTCGTTCTATCTTCGTTTTGTTGCATGGTTTGTATTGGTGTTAGTTTGAGTTGGGTTGTGGCTTGGGGTATGCCTTGTTTGTTGTTAGTGTTATTTTTGTATTCGATCATTCTCACCTCTTGGTTCACTCTTTTTCCTGCACTTAGGGTTAGGGAGATTTTTTAATGAGGTCCTCGAGGTGGTGTACTTGGAAATTATTCGTAATACAAAGTACCCTCTTTAAAAAAAAACTTAAAGCTAATTTCTTTTATAAAAAGCCAATCCGATCAAATTCTATTCAAATATTATTAGATTTGATCAATTAACTATAAAGAATAGAATTACCCGATTTAATTACCTGCTATCCTTTAATTTAACCAACTTCGAATCGTAAGAAGTTTAGATTTTATTTAAAAAAATTCAAAATTTAATTTAAGTTTGGTGGATCTTTTTTGTATAATTTATGTTTGATTCGAAACAAAAGCCAATTTATTGTAGTATTTTATAGTTAGTCAACGTTGTTATTTCCAATGAGTGTTGGCACAAGTGGTGAGGATTCATGAATTTACGTTTGTAAGATCAAATTTAAATCCTACTACCGTCATTCTTGGTGGGCAAGCTGTAAATTCCTATATAAATCCTAATTGAATATTAGGTATTGCCATACAAAAAATGTAGTTATTTTTTAAACTCTACCCATGAATATAGAATCTGCTGTTTATACTTAGTCAATGGTGTAATTTTTATTTTCAAGAGTAAATGCAGTTTGGTAGGGAAAAATTGAAACCTCATAATGGCATGTGGTAGCATTAAATTGGTTCATAAACACTGACCGATACCGCAACCATTGAACACGCCTTGGATACTATTATTTATTTTATATTTTCTTTAAACAACCACGAACTACTTACCTTAATGGTTAAATGAATCGTTTAAAAGTCATGGGTTTGAGCACCAGCGACTGCAACAGGGTGATTGAGAGTTTATTGTCAAATGATGAAGAGTATATTTAGAACATATACTACTTATAATCACTTTAGCTTGATTAAAAAAACCATAAAAGCTCATTAAACAAATTCACGTGAAAACAACATCTTTAAATGTTTTTTTAATTGATTATTAGTATTTGATATGTTAATTGATTACACGAATCAACTTACATCAATGGTTAAAAGAATCGTCGTTATTTCTAGAAATCACAGATTTTAGCATCAGATGTTGCAGCAAGATGATTATGCATTCAATATCAAATGGTTGAGAGTATTTATAACATTTACTATTTTGTAATCATATTAGCTTAATAAAATAAATATTAATTGATTAATATAGATCAAGTTTTGTAGAAGGTCTATTGTAAGTTTACTCAATTTATTTGGTTCGCAATCGCTGAGCTTAAAGTGTTAATTGAAAACCAATCGTCGATGTACATAACGTACTAATCCAATACGACCTAAAGATCATCGGACTATGGCATCACACAGACCACAGGAG